AAAAATAATAAAAACAGTAGATAAATTATTTTACATTATTTTATGTTTTATATTTATTATAGTAAATAATCTATGAGTTTATAAGTTATAATTTATCTAAATAATAAAATTATAAGAATTGGTTTTAATGTTTTTTATGTGTTACAAGTTTTATGAATATTTCTTCTGCTCTACTTTATTTTATATTATTTGTTATTGTTATAAATGTTTATTTCCAGAATGAAGCATTTATCTTGAAAAATTGATTGTGAAAAATTTAGAAAAATAATAAGTTAAATTTAAAGAAATGATAATTTATTTATTATGACAGCTATTCTTTTATTTTTTTAGACAAACCCATGCCAACATCCAGTTATAATACTCCAGGATGTACATTTTAGCGAATTGGAGGCACTATTAATATTTATATATAAGGGAGAGGTAAATATCGAGCAAAAAAATTTACCAGCACTCCTAAAAGCAGCAGAGACATTACAAATTCGGGGCTTGTCTGGGGGAGACATTTTTGCAAAGGAATCTTACAAACGACTGGCCGAATTAGAACAGGCTGTGGCCGAAGATGTACCATTGTGCAAGGAGGAGGCACCTAAAAAGAACAAAAAGTTAGCAAACAACAAAATAACTCTATTTTGGAAAAAGCACTAACACCTAGGATACCGCAATCGGAAAATACAAACGAATCCGCTGACAGCGATCAAAGTGGGAAAGATGGAGATTATATGCTACCTGAAACATTACCAAATCCAGTGTATCATCGTTTAGAGATGAAAGTTAGTTTAAAATAGAATATTATGATAATAAAGTAATTGTGTATTACCTTCAATGTTGTATATAAAATATGAAATCTAATTTAAATGCATTTTAGATAGAACCATTAGAAATGGCAGTAGATGATCTCCCAAAACGATCTCCATTAGATAAAGATCCAGAAAGGCTAGATACAGGACAAACAGACGGAAATCAAGGTTAGTATTATATACGTACAAAGTCTGGTCAGATCTTTTCTATTTCATGTTATTTTAGTATGCATTACATGTTAAATATATAAGCAGCTCTTATATATACGTTACATTTTATGTTTTCTTATATTAGAAATGTGAAAATTATACTAAATGAAACACTGATTCGTTTCCTTTTGCTATTCTCATTGCTATTGTTGCTATCTTAATTTCATATTACATATAAGTCGATTAAATTCGCTATTTAAAGATATAGATGCATATACAAGCATATATGTATAGAGTACTTACTAGAAGATGCCACATACTGTTTTGTTTGAATTATAATTTCTTAAAGATGCTTAAAAATGATTTTTTTTATTAAAAAGAAAACGATTATTTGTCGCAGTTTTCTAATTTTTAACATTAAAGACTTTCTACATTTCACTATTTTCTTGTGATATTAATACTAAAAAATTTTGTTATTTGATTTATTTCTATAATTAGAAGCAGTTTGTTTTTTACAATTTCTCAAATTAAAGTTAATATATTAAATTTAATAAAAATATATGAAATATTGTTACTAATTAGTAAAAAATTTAGTAAAAAAATTTTATTAAAGTGTTTACATAAGTTTGATCTAACGCGAATATAATCACATTTTGCTTTTTCGAGAATTGTGAACATAAATTATCACTTAGCATTTTTTCTTAATAGCATTTTCATTATCATATATAGTTAATATTAACACACAATGCACAAGTGCTGTATACAATTGTATACATTGTTTCACTGTCTTTGCATATGCCAACGACTACTGTAGTATCAAAGCTTTTTCTTTGATACTGCAGGTTGTAGCTTTTTCGAATTCTGTTCGTTTTCACCGCATATTCTGTTCTGCTCGTTTTGGCGCGCCACGTTTTCTTTATTTGCTGTGCTGCAAGGGCACCGCACGAGAGAGGTAGAAACAAAGATTGCGTGCACGAGTAAAGATAATTCTATTGAAAAGACAATGAGAGCGACATAATTGATGTAAATGATAAATGTCTCCATGACTTATTACATTATAACAAAAGTATTTCGCGGAATTTGATATAGAAATATATCATTCTCTCTATTAAGAAGTACGATTGATTTGTAATAATTGTAATTTGTGCAAAAAAAACTGACAATAATCATCGCTACTTTAATTTCTGCAATTTGGAGAGTTTATGAAAATGAAGCCGGTTTCGGCGTCACGCCTCGATCGGCGATAAATAAGCGTATGTGCGTGCATGCGTGCGAGCAGTGCATACGTGAGATGGAAGATGCGTGATCGGTCCTTCATTATAGCCTTTAATGTACATTCGCTCGCATTTTCTTTATTGTGCGCGTAATTCACGTGTGTGGGGCAGCCCGTGTCTCTAAAGCGTGCTGTGCTGATATGTGTGGCAGGGTCTGGGAACAGCCCTGCTGAAGACATTTCCGGTTTATCTGGCTTGTCTGGACTAAGTGGATTCTCGGACGTCAAACCGCTGCTTTACTCGTATCAGCATCTACCTTACGCCGATCTTCTGCCGAGTCCGGACATAATCTCGACCTGGGCGTCATCCCGACCGATGGATCATTTAGCCTGCGACCTCATGAAAATCCTCTTCACACCCGAAGAGAGGATTCTTTGCAACGTCAATGGCAAAATGGGCAAGCAGCAGTTCGATAGCAACAAGATACACTTAATCCGGGAGGTCCTATTGCACTTTAGCGGCATAGCGCCCAATAGCATCGAATGGGAGGAGGCGTGGAAGAATTGCGTAACCAAAATCGACACTAGTAATAGGGGCTTGAAAAGGTATCTGTTTCAGAGACGCTCAGTCTACACCCAATGACTAGGGCGTTTTAGGTCAGGGGTCAAACGGAAACGTTTCCACTGGCTGGAATAGGATCGTTCTTGTAAACCCGTCACCCCGTTCGTTCTCACACAAGCGTCGTAGGACAAATCGTTCCTCGCTTGTTCCTCTTTGGTATGAGTTTTTCGCGCTTTATATTTAGGACACTGTAAAAATAAAAATTGATGTAAGTAGACGGTAAGATTTACGCGCGTAGCCAGGGGAAAAAGAAATGGATGATATGGTTATAATCGCGGACTTAACGTGCGATAGGACGGATACGGAATACGCGGTGACGTTTCTAGATTGTAGATTTCGGGGTGACAGGGTGATATTAGAAAGAGCATTGTAGACGCGATCGAATTATTTATACGCTTCAGGTTCGCCGCTCGGCGTGATGGGTGGCGAACAATCGAATAATTCTAAGCCTTCCTCGTAGTTTCTTTTTAATTTCCATTTTAAAAATTCAAAGAAAACCCCGGGATATAGTACATTCGAGCTCTTCTCTCATCCCTTGTTCACACTTGCACATACCACGTGTGCTTAAAGAATCTTCTCACTTCTCTCACGTGCTCGCAAGTAATGTTGATCATTCATCTACTTGTATCTTGATTTCATGTATGAGATCTTGAATGTAACATTCCTTCTTTAGTTGCGACTCATTTTTACGCGGTATATATTAAAAAGCTATATTGGCTATATGAGAGAAATACGTTCAATTATTTCTCTCTTTTCCTCGCACTCGAATATATACATCACGTACTCATTCACATGCATTATCGATACACGATACAAGATGCGCGTATGTATATGCGTTCATTGTGCGTTAATGTGCGGTATATACATGTGCATACGTGTATTCACTTAGAGAGATTGGTATGTATATGTACATATATGTATGTACGAGAATATGGTCATGTTGATTACGTGAACGTGCTGCACAACCATGGCAGCTCTATGTACACTTAAAGAAAAAGAGAAATTGTAGCTCTTACGACAGGAATAGTGATTTAAGACATGCTTGTAAAGTATTTAAATCGCAGCAGAGGGTCATGTAAAACGCGCCACGAATTATTATGGTATACGTTGCAAATCGACGTATGATTTCTATCGTGCGTTTCCTTCTGCAAGACTCGCGCGAAAGTATTCTTTGATCTCTGTTTAATTGTAAAATCGTGTCGTTTTTTTTTTAGGTTGCGCGATATGCGAGCGTCGATCATTGGGGCACATAAGAAACGACAGCTTTGAAAAACGACTATTATTTAAATCAATATTATTGTAGACAAAACAAATGACTGGTCGCAAATAAACATATTTTACATTTTTAATTGTCTTCTTATTTCCGATACATAAAAACTCCTTTGTTTATCGTATATCTATGCATATAAAAATCCACGCAGTATTGCATTTTACAATACTTATGAAAATAATAATTTCTTTTTTTAGATTTTTTTGCAGAGAAATTTAAATATGTATTTTACATAGACTTTAAATATCGTTTAAACTTAAAATAAAATTGCAGATTAATGTAATAGTTAATGCGAATATATAGTGTTTATATTATTGAAAAAATGAAGCATGTTTTACGTATTTATGAATACTATTTCTTTATTTTTTATTATACGTAAGTAAAAAAGCAATTAAGTAACTATTAATTGAGTGGATTATATTATTACATGATTGATGATTGTATATATATATATATATATATATATATATATATATATATATATATAGTACTCTATACACTAAGAAGTAGGTAGTAGTATAGTATTGTATATATATATATATATATATATATATATATATATATATATTATATACTACTATATTATATACGACTTATATTATATACGACTATATATTATATACGAGTATATATATTTAATTTGCGAATCAAATTTAATTTATGAAAAAGACAATTCAAATGTTAGATTGAAATTCTTTATAGGATCAAAGCCGTCAAAGCCGATTGTGACAGTGATAGCTGAAGCTCGCAACACTTCTCCAGATCTACAAACACATGAGAAAGATCCTCTCGCAATTGAACGGAGCTCGTTGTGGAATATTTCGAAAATATTAGAGGATCCATCATCCGATCTACCAAATTATTCTCATGCTGAACAAACAATAAATCAACCAGAGTCCTCGAATGTTTTTATGGAACATAATCCCGGAGTTTCGCAACCTGGTTTTCCCACGTTCGTTGAATCTTATACAGATTTATCAGAAGACACCATAAAAGGTGGACCAGCATATCCACCATTTCCCTGCCCCTTCTGTGACAGGGCATATACGAGTTGGGGCTTTCGCAGAAGGCACATAAAAGCTGTCCATACCATCTCTCCTTCCCTTAATTGTAAATGGTGTTTACAAGTGAGTTTCTGAAGTTTTCTGATCTGTTTTAAGACAAAGCAAATGAACTGAATTATACGTTTATGAAGTTTGCATTTATATGACGGATAACATTTTATTTTTATGATTATCATATACGTGTAGGTTCTTCCTACGCATGCTGCTTGGAGACGACATGTGATATCAGCGCATAATCTATCGGCCAGTGATGCACACAATGGTCTTTTAATTTTAGAAGAAGCACACATGGTCTTGCAAATAGCGCGTCCTACCAGATTGGATACATTGGTTAATATTATTAAGCAAAGTTCGCAACAAAACTGTGGTCAAGATACCACTCAACAAGATAAAGATTAGATAATGATTTCAGTTACAATTTTGTATATCAAGGCGTTATTTACATTATTAATCTTTTATTTTAATAAAAATATATTATTGATAATACTCTTGATGATACCGTCGTGTTCGAAGCAAATGCAAATTTATTCTTTTATAAGAAAAATTATAAATGGTTAGATAAATATAAAACATACTTTTAATATATATGTTTCTTTAATATATTTAATATATTTTTTTTCTTTAATATATTTTATCTATAGCTATGAATGAGATGTTCCATATTTATTGTATTTATATTAAACTATTTTTAATAACTTTGTCAAAAACAATAATTTGAATATTATTTAAAAGATTGATATAAAAATATGAACGCACGACATGACGATAATTACTGTGATGTATACACATATATTATTAAACATTTTTAAAAACTATTTGAAATGTTTAGTAACATAATGTGTGAACAATATTCTTTTGTGTTTGTAACTGTTTTATATATATATATATA